GAGACAAGAATGCTCACAGCCCTGGGGCTGAGCTCTAGCCCTGAGCATTCTCACATCTGCACCTGTGCCCATTCACACTAGAGACCTTAAAATCCAAACTTGCCATTTCCTGCCAGGGAAGGGCTTGAGCTAGCAGGCTGCTGTGCAAAAGGAGGCAACTCTGTTAACTGAATAAAATGGATACAGTCTGTCAGTGCTTGACAAAAATACACTGGTTTATTTGTGGAAGGTCTTCTCAGTCCTCTGAACCGCAGCAGAGACTACTTCTGAGGCTCTTAGGAAACTCCTCAAGAATCTTGTCTTCCAGATGGAAAATCTTGCTGATTTTGTCAAATTTGGATGCCTTTTGCAGTTGTCCAATTTTAACAATTAGCACTTTGAGACTTATTTTTTGCCAAATTTCTGCCTCAAATCCTAACTTGTAATTATTCATTCTTTACAAGTCCCAACTTCCAGAGTTGTATGTGACTTCAAGGACTATTTCACTTTTAAATCCACTATAAATGCTATTATTTTTGTTCTCAGCAAGGAGTTGATTAAAAAAACACCTATATCACTGTGATGGAAAGCATTTAGAAAGAGCAGCCTGTAATGCTTAACAGAGTTGATTTGGCTGAACCATTGTACGTCAGCTTTGCCACAGGTATTTTGGCAAGGCAAATTCCTGTAAGCTATCTTGACACTATTGTAAGCATCAGGAATATTATGTGCAACTGGATACCTTTTATAGATAACATAGTATTCTGCTCACAATTATTTAAACTATTTATGAAGAATTAAGTAAATAAAGGCATACTGGGCAAGAGAATGTGTTTTATCAGACTGTTTGCTATCACTGGAAGGAAAACAGCCAAGCTTTGGCACACAGACCCTCTTCTTGATTTCTTTCAACAACCCTTCTCTTGCAAAGATGGATGGAAAGAAGATGGATGACTAACTTGATTAAAAGTACTCATTCAGTTAATTTCAGTGGAAATGTTTACAACATTTTTTGAGGCTGCCCGTAAGAAAGGGCTCCAAGGGCTGCCCCAGCTCACTTGAGGCACCCTGTGCCTGTGCATCCACCGTGCCTCAAAACTCAGACAGAGTTTAAAAAGCTGAGAAACAGCTGGGTGCTTGGTGGTGTGCAAATAAGGGTGTGCTGTTCTCACAGTTGTGCTGGGACGAGTCTCTAAACAAAGAGACAACATATTTGCTATGACTGCCCATGCACCTACTTAGTACAGATGTCTTTCCAACATTACACACTGCTCCTACCAATAAAAAGACAAGCTTTTTACTGTCATTTCTGTGCTATTTAGTTGAGTTCTTTAAAAAATAAACCAGGTGTAGTTAGTGCAGTTTTAGGTTTGACCAGAATATTGGGTGAATGATGAGCTACAAAATAAATTAGAATTGAGTACTGCTTTGAAATCATATTTTGTACAGCTCACTTCTTGAAATTCTATTTTTACTACCTCTTTTTGATGTTTCTTTATATCCTTTTTAAAAATTAGTAGTTCAAATGACCTCTGCTTTTTGCACTGTTGAAAGAATAAAAGGGGAAAATAATAGTCTAATCACAAATTGGACAATGAAATTTTTGATTTAATGACATATTTTTCAGATAATTCCTGTCTAGTCTAGTATGTACACCTAGCCTTTTACTTCCTCAAAATTCAGGTTACTGTCGCTTCCTTGAGCACAGGTTTATAAAAGTAGAAAAAAAGGTAAAAACTCCAACAGACTAAAAAAGCCACCTAACAAGTAAACATTCGGCATGTTCTAAAAACACAGGAAAATACTAATAAAAACTGTGAGCCTGCTCCTTAATTATCTCAACAGTTTAAACATGGAAAAGTATCACTGTATATGTTTCAAGCCATGAATGCCACTTGAGAAAGCCAGGAGCTTTCAGTATTTGGTCTTAAAAGACCAAATGTAATGTGCTGAGATGCTGAAGTAGGAGGGAGGTTTCTCTGAGTTCAGAAGTATGCCACTGTTGAGCTCCCAGGGACTTAAGGGCAGAAAACACTTCCACCTTCTACCCCTCTAATCCACTTGAAAATATATCCAGAAAATCTACAGTGCTTGCTGTAGAGATACTCAAAACAAGGTGTTTCTAAAAGTAGTTCCTTTTTATTGGCAAGCAGCAGGTTTTAGTTTTGATGAATGAAACGTCTGCCAAATCTAGGGGGAGAGAGGAGTGTGTATGTGTGTGTGTGTGTGTGTGTGTAGGGGTATGAGTGTGTATGGATGTGTCTATATACATATCTGTATACATTAGGCCCTGTGAGACCCCACTCATCTTTATTCTCTTTTTTAGATTACTGGGAACAAAATGACATCGCTTAACCTGGCCACCATCTTTGGCCCTAACTTGTTGCACAAGCAGAAATCTACAGACAAAGAATTCTCAGTTCAGAGCTCAGCTCGAGCTGAAGAGAGTACTGCTATCATAGCTGTTGTGCAAAAGATGATTGAAAACTATGAAACCCTTTTCATGGTGGGTGGATATTTTTTCATATTACTTGTATACATTTGTAAGATAAATGAGAAAATACCTGATCAATATTAAAATAGATGGAAATGAAATAAACTGTAGAAACTGCATTAAATTTGGATCAGTAATTATTGGTTAAAAAAGAGTAGTCTTCTAGCAAGGAGAATGATTTGCAGTAAGTAAAAATATTAAAAATGTGTACTTGTATCTTGTTTAGAATGGTTTCTGTGTAGGTAAAGATATATTGTTTAGAAGATTGTGAAAATGACAGGGTTGGCCATTCAGTTGTATACTGAGCAGTGCATGGACAAGACTGAAAATGTTCTTTCCCATCTCAGTTTTGGAAGTTAGGAAGACAATTTTTCTGCAGGGATTAAGAGATCTTTGATTAATTTAAGGAATTTCCTTCCCTACCCAAGACTTTTTTATTGATTGGATGGAGAGGAAGGACAAAGCTTTCTTGTTTGTTAGTTGGGTAAAAGGAATAAAACATAAATCTGTGTAGTTCCTGAGTTCCCTTTAGTTCTCTTTCTGAAGCAAGCAAGTTCTTCATAAGAAGGCTGATGGCCTTGGACTTGGACATGTTGTTTACTTAAGACAAAGCTTAGTTAGATCACATTTCTCGTGCCTATAAGTTACCTGAGCAGTTCATTCTGTGGCTTTATCTTAGGATCTTTTTGTGTACAAAACTGAAGGTCAGCTCAGCATGGCTTGTGTCTAAGGGAGCCCTGCTCTGGGGTAGCAGAGGCCAGTCAGACCTAGTGGTGATCTTCATTATTCTGCCTTTATTTTAGTAAAAATACACATTGTAACAGAAGCAGTAGTCATGAAAAAGTGGAAAAAAATTTGGTTGTTGTGTCCTGAGACTAAGCAGCACTGTATGTTTCCCTGAGGAGATAAGTTCCCAAAGAAGAAAAAACACTCTGGAAACCTTCAGTGCTTCAGTAAAGCTGAGTGCTGGAGACCTTTTTGGAAGAAGATGAACAACCCTGAACTGTGGGCTGATGGCCACATAGTACTGTAAATGGAAGATGTCTATCAGCTTTCAACAGGGAGTAGAGCATGAGAAAGCAATCATGAGCCCTGCCTCAGATGTCTTAGCCTCAGATGAACTTCTTTGTGGCTTTCCTGCCTTTTATTTTTACTCTTGTACCAGTGAGACACTTGCAATCATTTTTGTTTTGTTTTGTTTTTTTGGGGTTTTTTTAATGCTTTTCACGGTTGGGCAAAATGCTAGGTGCTATTTTTCCTTCCACATCAGGAAAAGAAAGTGACAGAACTGCACTCTTGGGTGAAGGTCTGCTGGCCCAGAGTGTGGATGGCACTATCAAGTTTAAAATAATACTTGAATAGAATACTTACAATACTTGAAGTGTTCTTATTGCTGTTTTTCTGTAAGAACGTCTTACAGCACAGACACATCTCAGAACACAATACTTAAGGCACACATTCTGGCTTTCTGTGTGGAAAGGGTGAAGCTAAGGTTAGACTAAGCTGCATCTGGGCTCCTAATTCTGATGGATTTATTCCTTCATCTCTTCAGTGCTTCAGCTTTCATATGGAGGTTAAATGAAGTGTGGGGAAAAGAATTTCTTTTGTTTTTCAGAGTTGCTTTTAACTGTTTATACTTGACATTTCTGCTACATTAAAAAATGATCATCTGAAGTTAAACATTCAGCTACAGCTATAACATGGTGTATTAATGCTCAGATGCTTTTGTGTTTGTTTGGTTTTTTTCCTTTCTGCTAATTTTATGTATGGAGAAGTTATGAAACTGTGATTGGTTTCAGCATTGAAACTGGAACAACATTTGCGAACCAAGCCCTAGGAGACCAGGATGTGTTGGGGTACCCAGACCACAATATCAGAACGATTCTGACATATTGGTGGATCAGAGAGATTCTTTGTTGGAACAACCCAGGATATTGAACACCATTTTTACTAAGTAACTATTGTTAACAACAGTACCGTGCAAAAGTACATCTTATAGATGGAATCTGACCATGTTTCATTGATGTCAGTGATGATAATCACTTCCATGTCCAAATTTTTCCCATTTCAGTGAGTCTTGGGGATGTATTAAAATGTTTCATGGGGATGTATTAAGGACTGTTCTCTGAACTATGTCCTGCAGCTGAATGAAAGGAGGCACAACTGAAACCACCCTTCATTTTTGACTTGAAATGAGGACTGGAGAACAGCAGCTTGTTCGTGTATTCAATCTCCTAGTGTCCAAATCCAGCCCTGCTGCAAAGTGCTACAGAGTGTATGAAATTTCATATTTTCACAGTTAGAGGCTACTGTGGCCTTCCCACTGCAGAGGCAGCCACACACTCTCATTCTGTGCCACATCAATGGAAAGGGATGGCACAAAGGACACACCTCAAGGGTCCCTCCACCCTTCTGGGTCTCAACAGCTGTGACTCTCATGTAGCACCCAACCCCAAAATCTCAGAATATCTGGTACTCTGCTGGAGCCCTGACGACCCTAGAGCCTTCTGATACGTCCCTGTACATCCTCCAGAGCTGCTATTTCAGCAGTGCCTTGGCTTCCCTTCTGTCCCAAATTTCAAATTCTCATCCATCTACTTAGGTGTAATTACCAGTGAGACAATGAATTCAGTAATAGTTACGATGACATATTCCTGAGATACTGATACTGTAGTTCTCTATAGGTTTATGATTAGATGCATATCATTTCCACACTTGTCAAGTTACTGAACTAAGCTGAAGAAAATTGCTGCACAGGAGGAAGCTCCAAACCCAGTGGGTAGCTAGGAAGGAGACCATCAGTAAAAATCTACTTGCAGATTCATTCTGGTGAAGGTCCTGTGAATCACTAGAACTGTTAAGTTTGGGTTTCCCAAAAGCTTTCTATTGGAATTGAACTTCTGGTGGAACTTTTTCAGACTGGTTTGGATGGAATGAAAGACTGATGTATCAATTTTTTTAAATAGGGCAAGATGTATTTTTATTTCTCTGATTAAGTTCTCTCAGTAGTTTCTTACAAATTACTTGATATAAAGCTGAGTAATAAATTACAGACAAAAATGTGGGGATTTTATTTTACCGTGAAACTTCATCTGGATTAAGTTTTTTAATTAATTTTAAAAATAAGTTTTTTATTTAATCATCAACTTTTTATTCTAGTGTATAGAAAAGCTTTCTAAACAGAGAAGTTACAGTACACCAGGTTTCCAAAAATTCTATTCCTATAAAATTTTTTTGTTTAAAGTCTAGTGTATCAGTGACCATCAGTAAGATATTTTTCCAGTTCAGAGACTGAATACAGTTTCTAAAAAATGAGTACGTGGTTACACAAGTTTTTCATAGAGATTTTGGATCAGTTTGAATTAAACTATGCATATCTTCATTTATTTTCTAATTATTTCCTTATTTTAAGAAATATGTCTTTTATGTAACTACACTTCCTAAATGCCTCCCAAAATGAAATATTCCTCGGAGGAATGTGTTAGTAATTTTATTCCTATTTCCCAGGAAATGTGAGGGGGAACAAATGGTCCATGAAGTGTGACTTGAAGGTCAAGAGATTCAGGCTCTGACAGATTGTATCCAGAAACATATATTGCCCAGCTGATGACCCCTTGCTGAGATTGTCTTGCATTGAGTTCCATCTGTCATGGGTGAACCCGAGCTGTTCAAGTTTCTTGGATGGTTTCATCTGTTTCAGTGTTTTGACGTTCGAGTTGAATGTTCCACTGCAATGTGGACAAAACAGACAAACTCACTTGAGGATTGATAAGACTCATGGAAAGTGCAGTTGGAAAAACAGAGTTTTCTTGTGCAGGCTGTGGGGTGCCATTTCTGCTACCTGCCCCCGAGATATTGCTGTATCCTGCAGCATCTGAAGCTGTCAAGGGTTTTGAAGGTTCATACCCATACAAAGGGCAGATACAAAGTTAGCAAATCAGAAGGCCAAACTCCAAAGAGGGTGACACAAATTCTGACTGAGCCTGTTGGTCAGAGTGGCTGGAGAGGCAGATGGAGATCTCTGAATGTCCTCAGATCTTTGATGGGCAGTTCAAAGTGAGGACCTCAAACTGGAGCTTTTGAGATTGTGATACATAAGTAATCCCAGTGTTGTTTTCAGATATAATAACCAACTGGATAGCAACTAGTTATTCAACAGAAATCAGCATTGAACATTGTACAAAGTGATCTTTAGTCTTACTTCATCTGTTATTACATGAAATTTCTCTTTTAAGTGAAAGCTTCTGAATATTTTATATACTTTCTATAAATGTACTTGGTCATTTAGATTAAGCATAGCACCAAAATTAATGGATGTGAAAGGATATTAACCTCCAACTAAGTATTTTTTTATGTCTTCGTAGGTTTCCCCTGATTTACAGAATGAAGTGCTTATTAGCTTATTAGAGACTGACCCAGATGTTGTAGACTATTTGCTGAGGAGGAAAGCTTCCCAGTCATCGTGAGTAATCTGTTTTTTCATCATCCCTTTTTCTGCTGGGAATTTCTATCTCCCACTGGAAGTGTCCAAAAGGTTCTAGTTTTCCACAGCTCTTCTGCACTGTCTACAGTGGAGTAGAAATATCCTCCCTATTACACAGACTCTGCCAAAGAAATTGTGACTCTTGTACAGCGTTTTCTAAAGACAAAACTCGTTTCCCCGATTCAGAGGAAAGATTGTGTTCTGCTGGAGAGAACAGAATGACATGTATATAAAAACATTCAGTGCACTATTATATGACAGGATGTATTTTAGTCATCTGCTGGTTCATGTCTTGGGTTTATTGCAGTCTTCGGTAACTGGAAGCATGTATTCCACTGTCCTTGAAGCACACCCTAGAGTGCCTTAACACCGTCACAGTGAGCTGCTTGACCACTCTGTCATTCTTTTCCTATCCTGTACGTGTAGGATGTTGTGAGCAAGCCAACAACAGCAGCCCTGTGGAGACTTCGGATATTATTTAATTTTATGCTTTGTGAAAGATCTGAAGAGTAAAAAAAATCACACTGGTCTCTATAGCAGTTATGATACATAACATATTCTGACCTTATGTGTGGTGTATATATGCCTGCACCCTTGTGCCTTAATGCTGTGAGTTTGTACATTCAGATTGACAGGATTTCTGGCTTTCATATGGGACCACACAGTCATTATCTTTATTCTAGTGAATCCCAATATGGCAGACCCAAAAATCACAAAATTCGACAGACTTGCTTTAAGTAATTTTTAAGAGGGTTTCTAGACACTAAAAACTCTCTGGGACATATTGGACTTTGTCTTCCTGTGTTTGTGGAAAGTGCCTAGTGCATTCAGAATACAATTAAAATTGAATTTGTACAGTCAGTTAGCTATGATTTTTTTTCCTCTCCCTCTTAACATTGCGTAGTTGGAGGTAATGTAATAGTGTGCCTGGCTTCAAAGGGAAAGGTATAAAAGAAATTGTGTAACTAACACCTTCAGGAAAAGCTTTCTTTAACTATAAAATTTGGAAACAAAAAATATGTGCAGAATATATTGAGTTGTAAAAGATTTTATTAGTTTTCTAACTTAACCACATGAAGTAGCAAATTATCACAGATCATGTGATTTGGGGTAATTTTCTCTGTGAAATAATTTCAGCTGGTTTGTCTGTCTGACAAGTAACCATGTGTATATTTAGATCACAGTAAGTGCAGGATAGAGGTACATGAGTTGTCTTTTAGACTTGTTTCACATTTGCCGGAAGCCAAGACTACAATTAAGACAGACACTACAAATCATATGACACAAGGTAGTGTGCAGAGACTTCTTCCTTTCAGCCCTTAGTTTGGAATGTTTGTATTACTTCTAACTCAAGCTAATAAGAACTTCATGCTGGATTTCACCATCTGTGTAATAAAAAGACACCAAATTGTATCTCACATGTGACTACACATACCAATTGTGCATAAGTTAGTCACAAATCATTGTGGATGTAACAGGTAATTGTTAGATCCTTTTTCCTTAATTGACTTTTCCTCAAACTTCCTTACTTTTAGCCAGCCTGCACAGCTACAGGAGAAAATGCATCTTTTGTGGAAAGCTGGTCACAACTGATAAAAGGCATTTTGTAAGGAAATGTTCTGAAGCCAAACAGAAGCATATAACTACAGTAGTACTAATTTATTGTATTGTCAGTAACAGGCAGATGAAATATCACTGAGATAGGAAAAAATTACTGTCATTTTTTTTCTACTCTGCTGTCACATAAGTGGTTTACTTTTAATGTTAATGAGGTATATTTTCACTGTGGTTGCAACTTCTTGGTTAAGATATTCCAGGCAATTAGAGAGAATGTTGCTTAGTGTTATTGCTAGGAGTGTAATGCTCTTAAGAGATTCATGTATTTCACAAGATAATCTCAATTTTGAAGCTACAAGTGTGTTGCTTATTTTTCCTATAAGAAATGTGAGACAGCAGGAGATGTTTGTCTTAATTTCATAAAAAAGCCTCCACAATATATCCTTATTGCTCTTGGAAATTGCCTGGTCACATACACAAAATACAAATGTAGATCTGTGGAACAAAAGACTTTAATGTCACATTAATTGCTTTGAAGGTCCTGTTCTGCAATTGCCCTTACATTTCTGCTCTTGCTGTCATTATAAATGCTTTCTTGACTCTGATCTAACAGAGAAAACACAATCTCTTTTCCTCACAGAGGAGGACAAATCAGATGTTCTTCATCTTTCAGTTCATTTAAGAGCTGAGCATTGTGAACAGTGTGTCAGGGAATTTATGGAAGTTGTTCATGGCAAAGCGTTAATTACAAATGGCAGCAATTGTGAAGTGTGCTTTTGTGGGTGACTTCCCAGTTTTTTGTACATTGGCTTGATGACAATGGAATTTGGGTTTACAGCTGTAAGATGAAGCATCTTTAAACTAACAAAAAATAAAATCTATTTCTTATGGTTATTTATTGCTTATCATGGTTAGTAGTCCTTTCAGAGTAAATAAGTTTCGAAGTTACAGCATTTTTGGATGTTTTTGGATTATGATAATGAGTTTTAATCCATCCTGACCTGTGACACAAAGACGAAGCCATACAACAGGTCATACAGTATGTGTAAATGCAGTTTTTAAAGCTGCAGAGGCTCCTTGAAACATTGAGCCCTCTACTCTATTACAGTAGCAATCACATCATAATCCCACAGTAATCTGCTTTGTTGGTAGCACCTGTGTTACTCAAATACATGTGGAAATTATTACTGTGTGCTGCCAAGCCATCACACTGTAAGACTTGCCTCTTGAGGGCATAATTGTTTTCCCACTCAGAAGCATTAAGTTATAAAGAAAAGCGTTTCTGCCAGAAAGAGAAAGGGATTTCCTATTTTGATAACCTTGATGCTAGTAGAAAAGTAGGAATATCCTCAATAGAAGCAATTATTGTGATTAACACATTTCCAGTTCCACCCGTGCAAGTGGATTCTGGTGGGCTACATCGATTCATAGAAAGATGCCTGTTGTTTTGGAATCTGAAATTGTATTTTTAAATTCATGTGGCATAGGTTCCCTCTGCTGCTTTCAAGTCTTTTAATTGGTACTTAGCCACTTGTAAAATCCTTTTTTCAACATAGTTCAAAACCCCTGGAAAATACTTAACTTGCCTTCCCATTCCTCACGTTTGATTGCACATAATCATCTATTATTCTTCGTGGGGACCATAATCTGCCCTTCCTCATATACTGCATGTAGAGGAGTGGGTATCTTGCACAGTATTTATGTTTGCCTTCCAATTTAGTTCCTCCCTAGTGAGTGGGTAGAGAATCTCACTATCCAAGAGAAGAAGGATTTGAATTGTTGTAAACATCCGTTTGCTAATAAACTCAAACAATAAAGCAAACAGATGCAAAATTTTCATTTTAAGGGATTTGTAAGAATTTGTTCTTTATTTACAAAGAGCAAACCAAAGTCTTTTTGCAAGTTGTTTTATTTTCTTTGTGAAGCTGCAAATGTATGAGTTCAATTTCCTGCTTTTAAGTATTTAATCCATTTTGATGGTTTTTTGTAGTAAGATTGACATAGTCCACAGCAGTTCCTTTGATTTTTAAAGGTATTTTCCCTAAATAGATTTGAAAGTTATATATTACGTGTATATAAAAAATAGTATGGTCTTACCAGCCAAAACTGTAAATCAGTTTAGAAACTTGAATGTTTGAATCTTTCCGAAGATTTGAAAGTTTGCATTCAGGTAAATTTTTAGCAGGAGCTCTGTCTTAAGAAGAGGTAGACTATAACAGATCATTGAAGGTAAGACATGAAATCAGTGTTTCACAAAGCTCAAGTTTATGTTCCCACATTCTTTCATTTCCATTTCCCTTATTCCTTGTGTTACCTTGCCATGGCTAAGTGCTGGTTTACCTCTGTCTTTGCCCTGTGCAGCACAGTTAGGTTTTGATGCTGCAAAGATTTACATGCAATAAACCTTACTGTGTAGATGGCATTCAATCTGGAAGGCTGGAAAGAGGCACAGATACCAACATTCCCCCCCTTTTCTAGGAGGTCTTTCTAGTTCTTCTGAAAATCCCAAGACATTGCTTAAATCTCATATCCCTGCACAAGGGTTTTTAGTACTTAGAAGCATAGAAAGAAAGAATCAAGTGGCAAGAAAAGAGAAAAAAGGTTTGTGATAGAATTAAACATACTTAAAAAACTATAGTTCTTCAGTGTGTGTCTGTTTATAGATTAATTTACATTGGACTCATGTTCAGATAAGAAGTTTAGATGAGAAGTTATTTAATTGAGGGCTTTTCTTTTTTTTTTTTTTTAAAATGACTCCCCAGCATTACCATGCTGCTCTGGGAAGCTTGTGACAGAGCAGCTTTGCCAAATGGCAGCTCTGTTTCTTGAGTTTGCCTCAGTTTAACTCCAGCCATGGTTTTATCACTGAGAGTTACTGAGGAGTAACAGTATTTAATTAATTCCCAATTTATGGTTGCTTTCATACCAAAAAAAAATAGGAATATTGAATAACATAATGACCATACTGTCAATTGTATATATTGTAGTTTTTGGGACATGTGATATGTAAATCAGCTGGGATAAAAACAACAGCTTGAAAGTGGTATTAAGTTCTGTCATTAGTTCTGTATTAAAATTTACTGTGCTGTGGCTAGCTGTGTGTTTTCTTGATTTTCTTTCTTCAGTTTTTATTTGTCTGGAAAGAGGGCTACTGTTCCATAGAGAGAAATGAGTTTTGGCTGCTCAACTAAATTCAAGCTGTCTTTGAATTTGACTATGTAAAGGGCTGACCATTTTCAAACATTTACAGGAATGAGCCTCTGTTGTATCATGTTTAACTAGTACAGGTATTAATGAGAGGTCACTGGAAGAAGTGTTTGACTCAGGAGAAACAAAAGATAAGCATCTATGAAACAAAGGTTTCAAAGAAATGAGAAATGAGTAATAGAAATATAAGTTAGCGAGGAACAACAGGAAAAAAAAGTTATGTTTGTTTACAGAGTAGTTCTATGTGTTCTTTGTGATATTCAGTGACTCACAGCCTGCCTCCTACCTGCACAACAAACTGGAACAGTTCAAGAAATCTCCATCAATGTTCCCAGCATATTTCAAAAATTTGCCTCTCTGACCTTTGCCTGTACTTAGGTGGGAGTTGTATTTGTCTTTTCTTGGTGAAATTAAAGGCAGTTTATGTTGTTGGTGGTATGAAGGTGAAAAGATAAAAGAAGTTATAGAAGGTATCAGTAGAACCAGTTGTTTGATGCCCCAGTCATAAGTACAGTAAATACATCTGATTGTCCTCTGTAGAATATTTACCTTCTTAAGAAGAGGATCATTCTCATAGTGTGAAAGGCAAGCTGAGTGCTTGATTTCTCTGTGTAGAACTTCAGAATACAAGAATTTATTTTAGCATGCTGCTTAGCATCAAACTAATCTGCCCTATCATGCCTTCAGCTTTATTGTTGCCACAAGCTACATTGTCAAGGTAACATAAGGAATTGATTCACTGCTTAGTTTCTTCTGGTTTACTGTACAGTTGTGTGGGTTTTTTGTTGTTTTCTTTCTTGACAGCAACATCCAACATCTTTTGATTTTGAGTGGCCTCTGCTGGCCACTTCATGGCAAAAGTTTTACTCATGGAAAATCCACCTCAATAACTGTTTCTGAAGTGTTTCCATTTCAGCAGCTGTGACCATTCTCGTGTATTTGATTTTTTATGTGTGACTATAGAATCATAGAATGGTTGGGTTGGAAGGGATCTTAAAAGTAATCTAGTTCCAAACCCCCTGCCATGGCCAGGAACACCTTTCACTAGACCAGATTGTTCACAGCCCCATCCAACCTGGCCTTGATGTCAAGCTGCATCTGTAACTGTGAACATGAAGCATTTTTTTTATTAACAGTAGTTTGTTCATCAAAATTTCTTAGGAGCCCTGAGATGCTGCGGTCAGAAGGTTCCTACTCCACAGGAGAAAGACATTCTTCCACAGACTCCAACAAAGCTTCCAGTGGTGATGTCTCCCCTTATGACAACAACTCCCCGGTGCTGTCTGAGCGCTCGCTGGTGGCAATGCAAGAGGAAGTTGCCCACAGCCCAGATAAGCTGTACAAGGTACCTGAGCAGTACTCGCTGGTTGGGCACTTGCAAACTAAGCCAAAGGAGAACTCTTCAACATCACAGGCTGGAAAAGGTATAGTGCATCCTGCTGCATCATCCGTAGTGATGGAGATTCCTGAACTAATTGAAAAGTGCTGGATTTGTATTATCAGCTACCAGGATTTGAGGAGCAATAGTGTAAATAACCTTATAAAAAAAATGACAGGCCAATATCCTTTTTTTTAATTGAGCCTGAAAGGATCTGTGCTGAGTCCTCATTAGCTCAGCCAGCTGTCAGGGTTGCTTTTGGTATGGGACTTCTCAAAATTTGGAGATATTATTTAGGAAAATAGAACTTTGTACTTGTAGTTTTTCAGCCTGTCTGTGACAGCATGGCAAAGTCTAGTCCTGATTCATGGGACTGTAATACCTACAAGGCTATGGTCCAGGTTTTGGAAAAAGCTGAGATTTCAAGATTTCAGGCACAAACTTTCTCCAGTTGTAAAGAATGATCTCAACACCCTCTCACTGGAAAACGCAGCTGAGCTGCACAGCTTTACATCTGCAACCAATTACACACTGAGCAATACTAGTGCAGGGATCCATTATTGCCAAAGCTACCTGAGAAGTGCATACCTGAATGATTTCTTTGGTAAAGAGATCTGGTTTAAACTAATAGCTCACCAGCACTTCAAGATGCTTTTCCTATAAATATATGTATATATATATATAAAAAATTATCATCCATGAAATTTATGCTTACTGAGCCAAACTTTAGGAATTTTCAATGCTTAGGGATGCATATAACTGTTTGGTGGTATTTTTAATACCACTTCATTTCAGATGTACTGCCTAGGCACTTAATTCCCTTTGGGATTAATTTGATTTAGACTAATATCTGAATGATATGCTTTATAAATGTCAATTGGAATTTATCTTCTGTATGCAACATCTAAATTTCTGAACAGGTTTAAGAATTTGGTAAGATCTCTGTTAAGTTATGAACAGGAAATTACCTGAAGTTTTATAATATTAACCATCTTTTGTACTTTAATATGCATCTCAAAGATGTTGGGCCATGAGAAATTAGGAGATTTCTCTACTGACTAGAGGAATCAGAAAAAGGCATTAAACTGTTTATAACCCAGCATTTCATTAAATATTTGTTCTGTGGCTGCACTTCTGGGTAAGATGGCAGCATCCTTGGGTTGATAGAACATGCCTTACAGTGACCCCTGGGGCTGGGGCTGCCTGAGGGTGCTTTGTCAGAAATTACCTTTGTGGGACCAAATCCCCCTGCTCTTGTGCAAAAGGCTGCAGTGCAGCACACAGGTATTGGGCCATTAAGAAAAATAATATACATGACTGTTGTTAATTGGATAAGAATGAGTATAAAGATAAAAGAACTGCATGGTTTAGGGGCATTTTGGGCATTCAAAGCCAAAGTGAGACACAAAGTGTGCCATAAGGCCATTCTGTACCATCAGGAAGAAAAAGAAAAAGAAGAAAAAGGTTGTGGTGAATTAAACTTGTGCAAAAAGTCTGGAGAGACCTGCCAAGTTCTGTGATAACATCCTAATAAACACGAGGAACAAGATCCTAACAGGATTTGGAGTTTTTGTCCTGACCCGGAGGACTGTGATAAGCAGGACTCCCTGTGAGGGAATATCCCCAAGGAGCTTAGCTCAGAGAAGCTGAGAAATCCAGGAGTAAAAAGAAGTGCAGAAGAAGCACAGCAGCAGAATCAGAATAGAAAAAAGAAGCAAAAAGAATTTTTAGAAAGTTACAAGCAGTACTCCAGGTGGGATCTCACACATGAGGTGCTCCTGTTAGGTGCACAGTGAAGGTGCTGCTGGATGTTAATGGCTCTGATACGTTACATAAGGTTTTATCTTTCTGTTTGTATATTTCTAAATAATGCCTTTAAGAGGATTGATTCAACATCTTTTCCCTGCTCTCACTGCTGTTTAGATGTTTCTGAAGATCATTTTGATATCTGGGGCACTTGGCATTCAACACTGAAAAGTGGCTGCAAAGATCCAGTAATCACAGGTCAGTAATTTCTCGATTTTAAACCCCAAATCTAGCAAAGAAAAACCCAATTACTTGTTTTCAAGAAGTCACAGTGAAACCAGTAGGAGACTTCACATTGTCCAGAGCTAGACTTTTAAAAGGTGACTTAAGTAGAGTACAGAGGAACACAATGTTCAGCGGAATACAGAAAACAGCAACATTTCAAACTATCAAATATAATTTGAAAAGTCTTTTTAAAATTGCTTCAAGAAATAGTTTTAAATTCTTCTAGAATTCATAGAATCAGAACCATAGACTGATAAGAGTTAGAAGGGACCTTATGAATCATATAATCCCAACCCTCCTCCCTTGGGCAGGGACATTTCCAACTAAATTAGGTTGCTCAAGGCCTTATCCAGCCTGACCTTGAACACTGCCAGGGTTGGGGCATCCCCAGCCTCTCTGAGCAACCTGTTCCAGTGCTTAACCACCTTGACAGTAAAACTTTCTTCTTCATATTCCTGAATTTCCCCTCTTTCAATTTGTACCCATTATTCTTTGTGCTATCACTACAGTTCCTGATGGAGAGCTCCTTCAGATACTGAAAGGTGCTATGAGTTTCTGTGCAATCTTCTCTTCTCCAGGCTGAACAGCCCCAACTTTCTCAGCCTGTCTCAGCCCCCATCCCTCTTCCACAGTGTGATACAAGGGAAAAGCAGTAGCTTGTTGCATGCCACACGAATGGTCCTGCAGACTCACGCTGTGTTTCTGACTCTGTGCCCAGGTTCTTACGGGAACATTTACGAAAGCAGCTTGCTGCGCCCCGGACAGTGCTCTCTTTCCCAGGGGAACCTGGCCACGCATTCCCCTCGATGGCAGGGCAGCTCCTCGGAACTGGACAGCGGCAGGCAGGTCATGCGGAGGAGCCAGACGACAGCCGCCATTCCCGAGTGTCAGCTCCAGGCCGCGGTGCCTCGGCTGTGCAGTAACCCACACAGCGAGGCTGGCTGCACGACTTCAGGCCTGCCCCACTCCAAGTCGGAGCAGCACTTGACTTTGAGCAGTGTGGAGGACCTCAGTGAGCACGACTCGAATGTGGGTTGTTTGCAAAGCACAGCCAAGCCCTCCTACAGGAAAGAGCGGCCACCACCCCCGTACCCAGGCCCAGCAAAAACAAGCTCTGCGTTGCCGCAGCGGCCGAGTGTTTCTTCAGCGCTGCACTCCTTGTGGAGACTCCAACGCCCAGAGAAAAGTTCGAGAGCAGCTGGGGGGCCACCAGGCAGAGCCCCTGAGCAGGCCACCTCCGGGCAGGAGCAGCTGGCCCCGCGCGCACAGGCGGGTCACCGCTATTCCACAGCACCTCACAGCCACAACAGTAAGAGCGTTTCAGAGGCGGACTGGAATGAGTGGCAAAGGGAGAGGTGGCAGATTTGGGAGCTGTTATCAGCTGACAACCCTGATGCCCTCCCAGAAACCCTTGTATGATCTGACTGTGGAACTGCTGCTCATACCCCTGCCTCCGTCTCACAGGAAAACCACGGTGACATTAGAAAACAGGGAGGGCTTGTTTGTTTTATACCAACTGAATTGCATATACTTTTTTAAAAACTTTGTTCACTTTAATTTCTCAACAGAACTGTCAAGCAGTTAATTTACAAATTCCATATGTTCCTGTTTTTCAGCAAGCTTTTGAGAAAAAAACAAGGTGAAAACTTTAGTGTAATAACTCTGTATGCATATGCTGTGTATATGATAAAACTGTTGCTTTGATGTTGCTAAAAATATATTTATATATCTGCAGTTTTGATGATTGTATATTCTGTAATGGGTATTGTATGATAATCATGTTATGTTTTCATATACAGATGTCAATCAATCATGACTGCTTTTTTAAAAAAAAATCACTGCACTTACATTACCATGATATGCATTGGAATTCTATAGAAAGTGCACAAGCTGGTTTCTGTGCTTATATATATATATATTAAAAAAAAAGCTGTTAAAGGGGAAAGTTGTACTTCTTTTCACTGCCTTTTGAAAAACACTAAAACAAAGGGGAACATGAAAAGCCATATATTTTATAAGGGTAGTAGTGAGCTTAGAGGGGAAAATACAAAATATTTTTTTCTTATACATACGTTTGCAAAAAACTTTGAAATTTGATACAAGATTGTAAAAGTATTTTTTTTTTATATTCTGGTAGGAAGCAGCTCAGAGAATCTAAGAACAACATTGTGCCTAAACCAATGAAGTACATAGTGCAAAGTCTGCCCTCCCATTCTAAAGGAAAACCAATGTTATATATGCAGGATATAATATATATATTTATAAATGTATGATTTTATGTATTGTTTTAAAACAATAAACTGGAATCCAAATTTTAGAAAACCAAACCTAATAAATTGAGATGCATAACACTGAGGAAGAACATGGCTTTTCCTTTGAAATAACAAAGCTCCAGCATTTAAGAAAGTGAGAGAAAGGAAAAAGGTGCAGACACACACATGAGAAGGAGTCAAGTAGAGTTTCAGAAATGAGCATGACATTTGGAGAAGCTGAGAACTGTGAGAAACTGTGTTTCTATAAATATTGTGCCAAAGCCTGGGTCAGTCACACTTCCTCAGGAGCTGTACGTTGCGTTGTGTTGGATGTTGCTGTTTTATACACGTTGTTTTTCAGCTGCAGAGCCCTTCGTGGGCAGCGGGTGGCAATGTACTGCAGCGTTCCAGAGAAATTCCTTCTTAGCACTCCATAAGGAAAAGTGTATCATATTCAAAAGAATTTTATAAAACATATTAGTCTTAATTTTAATGGATTTGAAGACTTATTCAGTGATGTCGTCTTTAAGCTCTATCTTGTGCCATAATGATGGAATAAAAAGCTAAGTAAAACAATGAGCATATTTTTGCTCCTTTTTTTTTTAAATAAAGTTTATGGGATATTGATATATTTATATTACATTCTTGAGAGTGTCTATCAAAAAAATCTAAAAGGCATAGGAGCTTAAAGGCCACCTTCAAATGCAGCTTAAATATACAAGATTCAAGGTTTTACTTTAGTTTGAGGCTTAAAATCCATCATATAAAGATGGATTTTATCCATCCTTCCCCTCCTATCTCCATTTCATTTCATTGTATCTCCATTTTCTAAGTAAGGTTATAAGATAAAAGCACTAAGCCAATCCTACCAAAGGGGCAGGATTTGGATTCTGTTGTAGCTCATTTTATGCAGAATAAATGTCATTCTCTTTTGGTAGTTGCAAGGCTTTTCCAAATGTTATCATGATATGAGATTCAATAGGAAAAGGTTCTTGTGTGTCCTTTGTTGCAGCAGCTCTGTGTCAATTTATTCCAAAATAAAGGCAGTCCACCCCAAATTGAAATCACTGTGGAATATAAGGAAAGACAAAAATGAGCTCTTACAATCTTTACTATTTCATCTGGTCTCAGTATTATTCCAGGCTTGATACACATTTGCTACGGGAAATTAACTCCCAAGTAGTCCCCAAAACCAGTCATAGTGTAAATCTTGCTGCAGAAGATGCTGTATTCACTAGATGTCCATCTCTTCATTTTAAACCCTTCTAAATACAGGAGCACCTGCACCCTTTCTAGTGAAAGATGTCTGAGGATTACTCAGCATTATGAAGACATTGCCTTTTGCCACTCCCTCTCTCTGTATGTATTTTTATATATATTTATCTATGTATTACCCTATTCTGTTTATCAACAGAAGATGAAAACAAAAGGCAAGACAAAAGACCACTGCTGGAGGGCAGCCTTGTGTGCACACATTTCAATAGATTGTCATGTGGAAGAGAAGAGATACAAAATAAATTCCAGTAGGTAAAATAATACTTCCAGGATTACATAATTTCTGTAATTTTCATTTGAACAGGGCAGAGCAGAATTATCACAAGCAGGTTAAGAATGTAATTTTCAGTTGTAAGTCTTTCCAGGCTGAAATCAGTGACATAATTTTTTTATGCTTTTATATATTTCACAAGAAAAGTAGCCATGAAAGCTTGTTTCTAGTTTTATGTTGGGTTATAGATCTGTGTGGGATATCCCATTTTAGATCTCTGAATGATCCTATGACACAATGCTTTTGAATACCTATAAAACTCATTTTACAGGGAAAGTCTCTAGTGTAAGGATATTGAATCTTTGACTCTCTTGCTTGGGAGGAGGATTCCTGTTTTAGCAAAGACTGTGGGCCTGTGCTTCAATGAAGAGTGTGATAGAGAAGGCCCTCTGGAGGTCTTGAGGCCTTAAGGCAAACTCAATTTCCTTCCCATCACTTCTTATCACACCACACTGGTTCACATCTGGGATTGTAAATAAACCACTTTCCCCTCCAAGGCTGATTTACCTCTCTCAGGAGGTGTCTCCCAGCTGGGATGAGGGGTGTGCTGCACTCACAGGTGAACCCAGGAGAGATGGGATGTGGGTGCCCCAAGGACAGGGTGTCTGCAGGTTGCCCATGGGGCAGGGGTTATGCTTCTGCAGAAACAAAAAAATGCAAGGATCCAGTACACCTCTAGGTACAAGCCAGATGTGGTAAGGAACCTGTCAGCCAGGGGAGAAAGAAATGATAGACTTTAAAACACTACTTTAAAGATTACTGTTGCTGCCATCTTTTAAAACAAGATGTGGCTGCACTGTTGTGTTGTGCATTCTAAGACCATGCTCCTCAGCTGAAGGGTCTGCACCTTCTCCCTCTTCCCCAGCTTACTATCCCATCCCTTATACCAGCTCATGGAGTGGTGGGAGGAGTTCCAGGGCTGGAACTCGTTGATCTGGCTGAAACTTGTCCAGAGCAAGGAACACATAAAATTCAGGTGGCTTAGAGGCTCTCACAAGTGGTGGGCACAGGGGAGGAGGAGGGCAGGACTGGCTCCTCTGCCAGGTGCTCCAGTGAGCCCTGTCAGGTGCTTGAGCAGCCTGGAGGATCCTGCAGGAAGGAGCCCAGCCAAGCACTTGAGAGTGGCTCTGAGATCCACACCTGAGCCAATCCAGCTGCTGCCTTGGGTACATGAAATCTTGAGCACTCTGCTGTCTACATTGGGACCCCAAGGTATGGCACCATGGCATAGATAAATGCCACTCAGAACTTCTCAGCTGTTGAAATGGTGAGGTTCAGTGGGCTGGAAATTGTGGTTGTATGGTGTAGGGAGGGAGGCATTACCTGGTTTTTTCAGTGATTTTGTTGTTTCACAGGCATTGGTTGAGGTCAGAAATCTCAATTCCAGCCCTTCTGGAGCACCAGCTTGTCCAGCATTGCTGGTCTGACAGAAGATCAGAGACTTCTTTCTCCTCTGGGAAACACACAGGATGTCTGAGTTTCATCTTGCTCCTCTCTCTTTCTCTCTTTCCCGCCCTTCTTTTTGCATTAATTAAATTAAAAATAAAAAATAAAAAAAAGGAAAGAAAAAAAACCCTGTAGCTCCATTGTGTAATACTTAACCTTACAGAGCTGCAAAGCAATAGAAATGGTTCTCAGTTGCATTAAAGAGTATTTTGACATCAGTAAGTCCTTTTGCATCACTGGGAACTGCAAAGCACTTCTGCACTACTGTTGCAGTTGCTGCAGGGGAAAGTATCTCCAGTCACACAGTGCTGCAGAGACCACAGAGCTATTCCAGGCATGTAGACACTCAGGCTGCTAGGTCATAAAATGCACCATCTCTAAGAATAGCATTAATTTAATTTTTTCTGAAGTGCAAAGCATCACAAAAGGTGGTATCTGCATCTGGAAAAGTAACTCACAGGCTCCCTTTTAATTCAGTGGAAAGAAGTGGGTATTTCTGTACCACCTTGATACAGCCTACATGTGTCTTTCTTTGAAAGACAGTCTCTTTTGAAGGGCTGGTTACTAGAAGAGCCTATTTTTTCCTGCTATATAAAGGGAGCCTAAATAAGTCACCCAAATATGGTAACCCTCCAAGTTTGTTGGAGTGAATCCCACGCTGAGGGTCTAGTAAAACAGAAGATGGATGGTGAATCACACCTGGAAAGCACAGGTTTCCAGCTCCTAGGAAAAGTGAAATTTACCCAGAGGCCTCAGCATTGTGGTTCCTATGTGAACCTGGAACTAGTGGGGCTGGCAGAGTCAGTGTTGCTCCAGGGGGCCTGGGCACAGTCAGCTCTGTGAGAAATACAGGTTTTTTGCAAAGTGAGGGAAAGACGCTGCCTGGTCTGGAATTTCACCTATTTTCTTGTGTGACTGGTTGGTTGGTTTGCTTTTAAGCTGGATTTCTTTATTCATTGAAAACTCTGTTTCCAGATGAAGGGAAAGTGTTCATGAACAGACTATGATTTAATTAATTTTTTCAGTTAAAAATATATATTCTTTAAAAACGAGGATATTATTTCTGGAAACAACCTAATTTGGGCATTTTATATAGATAGCAGGGAGGTGGCTTGTATTGATTCCCAAGTGACACAAATGGAGACAGGCAGATAAAATCTTCCTTTTGAAAGATGGGTGTTAATTCTCTTTCTTTTGCATTTAGGAAAGTAAATGTCTTTGCCACTGGAGTTTTAGGGTCAGAGAGAAGAGAGTAGGAGGGAGGGAGGCAGAAAGAGGATCCACTTCTCTGTTAAATTGCAGTTGGGAGGGGTGAAAGCATGTGCAGGTGAGAGCAGTATCTCCAGCTGGGTGGTTGTCACACTCTGAGTGAGGACTTCAGCCCCAGACTCTGTGCTCTCTTCTCATGATTATTCAAACTTTTAATAGAAGAGAATAACTTTTAAGAGTCTCTCTTTTGAACAAAGGGGACATCAACAGACACTTCAATCACCATTTCTTTTTGTTGGATTTGCTCTATTCCATTTCCCTTTGTCTACTTCCAACCATTGCTATGGGCTTTAATTACAAAATAAAATAAAATAAAATAAAATAAAATTTTATAAATAAAATAAAATGGCCTGGGGAAAAAAGATTTATCTCTGTATCATCTTAATAGAAATCCAAATGTTGTTGGCTTTGAAAAAGGCCTAGTGACCAATCAAGG